CAATAACCGAATTAGGAGTCGTCGATTGGTGAAATTGATCCGCTATGAGAACGAAGGTATTAGTAAACATTAAAGTAAATGAAAACAATAAAAAGATACAAGGAATTATAGTGGTTCCCCTAATAATGCATGGTACTTCTATTGTAAGGCTCAAGTGGTTTCACTATGACTGTTGAAAAGCGTTACAATGAATCGTTCTGGGGAGAACGAGATGAGATAGAGAAATGTATACCGGAAAATACAGTAAATAATAGAGAAATATGCTATAAGTGAGCGTGAGAGCTTTTGTGTGCTATAGAAACATGCCGAACTGTGTCTAAATGCCTTGTATTTATAGTTGATGAGGCTCTATGAGTTGTTTCCTGATTATCTGCGTGTTATGGGCTTCAATTCGTGATATTCTTTTCCTTCTTAGGCGCTGCATGACTTTCTTTAACTGATTTTGTTCATAATCGACCGGTCAATCATGGTTTCTTGCCCATTTTGAGTTGATCCGGCCTCTTTGTTGTCTAATTGCTGGAGATATAGTTTCCTTATGTGGAGTAGTTGATTTCTTTCATTTTCTAGCTGATTATGTTGCCAAATCTAGTATAAATAATGTCTTGAGAATATTCTCTCGTGTCTTCATGCATAAGGCTATTCTTCGACTCGTGGGATCGACTGGTGGAGTTGATCAGTTGACCAGTTGATTCTGCCTACTTGGGGAGTCGCCGTGACTCGTTTAGTGATCTTCTGGAGCCTGGTTTGCCACGTGTACGGTGAGAGATGAGGTACGAAATCTGACCTCAATAAATTTTAATGGTTACATTTTCATGTGTAGTTATGCATCAAATAAGAAATTAAATAGTATGACATGATAAGAAACCGATCTCATTAATTATCATATCTTTTTTTGGCTAGCTACCAAATTTATGTTCAATATCACACTGTTAAAATAATAATGCCCACCAATAAATAAATATAATAGTCATCATTAAAATCACATCCATATAAATCAAGAAGATAAGTCTAAGGATTATAAACGTATTCAAAGTTATCTGTCAAAATTTTCAACCAATAATTAAGTCATATAGCCAGTGAATTGTCCACAAAACAAATTATTTTATTAATTAAAAAGTAACAACTTAGTTAACACATTACTTAGTACAAAAAAAACTCGATAAATAATTGAAGATCACCAACATATTATTCTAAGTTTAGTTTATAATCTTGTAAGCATTGGTATTGGCTCATGTAAATTAAGTTAGAAGGAGTATCGTTTAAAAATAGGAAATTACCTTGTTTTAATTTGGAAAGCATATTCATCAACCTCACTATATGGTCTACGATATTCCCATCTTAGTTCACGAGATTATATATATAGCACGCAATGTATTTGAGAGTTGCCTTAATTAAGTACTTGACGAACTTCAAGTGGTGGGAACCTGTCCCCTTCTAATTATATTTGTAATTTGGCCAGGTTGGCATTTTCCGAAGGAATCAGTTTGTAATAAAACATCCATGATTACGTTCCTTGAATCATTTTCTATTTAAAAAATAATATATCATGTTGATAGATTCCCGTATCAAACAGTAAATATAGAAAGTGACAAAAAAATGATGATAGCATTTCTCATCATTCTAATAGAAGAGTGTGGAGTTTGTAATGCTAGTGATCAATAAGAAAACAATGTTGGTTTAACCAACTAATCCTATAGGAAGGGATGAAAGATCATTTTCTTTCTCTATATAAGGATTTGCCTCTAATTAATCTGCCTCTAATCTCCCAATTGCCAACCAAGATCAATAGTTATGGTAAAAATGAAGAATTTTTATGCATTTTAACTTCTAGCTAAAGAACACTACTACTCATGCTTTAAATTGCTGTACATTATTACTATTACTCATGCATTTTACCCTTTCTTTTCTGAGGTATAGTTTTTTAGGACATATATCTATTAATTATATATGATAAGTTTTGAACAGTTATATATGGATGAGTTTTCAATAACCGACCTCTTTGTTAATTGCACAATTTTATTTCTTTATCAAACAAAAAAAAAAAAAACTTTTTAAGCAGGAAATGAAAGGAGTAATGCTTTATAGTTTCATAAAGAAATAATAAAAGAACAAATAGTCTTTTTTAAGCAAGAGATAGCTTTTTGTGAGTCTATGTAATAATTCTATGTGAGAGTGCAGTGCAACGAACCATACAAAGCCATATAGGTAAGAAGTCGCAATATACATTATAATTAAAAGCCATAAATCGAATCTCATCCCACAATAAATTCTAATTTTGATCCAGATAATTAAAAAATGGTCCTATATACAATGGAGTCTTTGGAGACATCCCCATTTCGATTAATGTTATGATAGTTCACATAATTCATTTGTTTTTCAATTAATAATACCAAGTGCAAGTAGATAAACCACAATAATTGGTGTTATGCCCTTTAAAATTTGTAAAAGAAGTGTTGCATTTTTGCAATTTAATTCATAGTTCAAATTAGTCCCTACAAACCCACATGGATGATGTACTCTTCTTGAAACAAACAAGGAACATATGAACATATATTGTTTAATTGGAAATAGGTTTATATATATATACACATATACATATACATATATATATATATATATATATACTAGACCAAGATAAATCTGACTTTTTTTCACTATTTAAATATTGAATTTTGAAGATAAGGTGGAGAAGTAGTAGTGGTAGTAGGAGGACAGTGCTTAAAATCATCATACAAGAAAGAGTGGGGAGGAGGCCAGAAATTATTAAGCAACAAGGGTAAAGAATAAGAAGCAGCCCACGTTAATTCACCAACCAAATCCCACAAAATCCCACAAAATCGATCAAAATATTATTCCAAAAAAAAAAGAAATTAAATTAAATTTAAACAAATACCGAGTTTGATGCTTTACTTTGGGTCACTAACTATTGTTGATGCTGGCCTTTGCCCCTTACGTGCCCCTCACAACCCTTTGTCCTTAATTCCTCACGCCAAGAATCTCTCTCTCTCTCTCTCTCTCTATCTCTCTCTATATATATATATATATATATTTCTGCCCTTCATTTGCTTCACTCAATCTACTTCACTCAAGGGAAGGTTACCCTTATTATACGGTCACCGTCCATAATTTATTTATTTCTTATATCTTTGCTTGCTATTCATTTCATGTACCAAAAGTTCCCACTAGGCTGCAACTGTTTACTTTGATTGGCCAATTAACCTTCCATTCCGGCCCCACCTAATTTCCATGTAGGGAGATCATAATATATATGAACAAAACAATTTTCAATAATAATATTATATATATTTATAATATGAAACAAAATCCCAAATTTTGATTACAAAGTATAATTAGTTCCCCGTCTAATCGTTTCCCAATCGGTTATGTATACTTGTATTTGAAGATCTTAAACGCGTTTAAGTCAGTTGTGTTTTTGCAATTTTCTAGAGAAGTTATTTTTTCAATTAACTTGAGATTGTTAAAGAGAGAAATTAGTTAATTAGTATAAGCGTTTTGCAGGAGTAATCAAATTACTTATTTTTAATTTCCTCAACCAAAAGAAAGTTTTTTTTTTTTTTTTTTTCTCCTTTATATATTGAGAGAATATATATAAAGACTCTTTATCCAATATTGTTTTTTTGTTGTTGTTGTTGTTGTTCCATCATCATTGTTGTTGTTGTTAGTACACAAACCAGCCCGCATGTTGCATGAGAGTTATAAAAATTTAATTTATAATTTATGTAGAAGTCAATAAGTTCATTGATCTCCAACATGGGATATTCTAAAATACTAATTCACATTGTGAGAAATGATACGGATGTTTCCAAAATAACTGTTAAAAGAACATTTCACATTGTTCAATTGCAAATAAATAAATAAATAAAATAAAATAAAATAAAACTATGCACCGTGCATGATAGACCTCGTAAAAGATAGAAAAATTCAATGCATATCTCGGAAAATTAAACCTTTATATATGTGTGATTCCCTCCATATATATATATATATTAGGCCCTAACCCTAGCTATAAATTACACAAATAATATTGTTGTTTTACCAACTCCTAATGATTGGATTAGATCACTTGTATATCTATATTTACATTATATTAAGGTTTCTAATCAAATAATTGGATCATATAGGCGGCGTGATTTTTGGGTTGTTGTCCATACAAGAAGTGATTATAGTGTATTATATGAAGTGAGGGGGTGGGTCAACTGCACATGAACTGCTTGATTAGAAGAACCTCCAATCTAATGCAATTCCAAAACCCTTTTAATTTTTAAAATAAAAAAAATTATGCAGAAAAAAAATAATCAAATTCATGCCCTCCTCACAACTCACAAGTATTCCTTAAAAGCTACCTCTAACCTCCAAAAAATTTCAAACCTTTGAACATTATTATTATAATGTGGAATTAGTTAAACTGTCTACACTAATTCAACAAGCTTAAAGAATTAACCTCACAAATTTTCAACTGATCACACTACAAGAAAAGGGAAATGACTTAATCGTAACTTGGTCGTCGGTATATTTTCATTTCTCGATGTTTTGTCGATGAATTTCAGCTTTTAGTGGCGACAAGTTTCGTGAGTAGAGAAAAAAAAAGGATATAAGTAAATTTTTTTCTTAAAAAAAACAAAATAAAATAAGGGGGAGCGCAAATTCTGTGGTTCCAGGCTTGCAAACCAATCCTCCAGAAAGGAATCGTTGGAAAAAAGTAATGGGTTTGCTTCAAAGCCAACCGAATCTCACTCGTTTCCTCGCCTCCTCATACTTACATTGCATCTCTCTCTCTCCCTCCCTCTCTCTCTTACATTACACACCTGTGTATATATATATATATTACATGCCTATATATAACCTCCAAAGCTGGCAAAAACAAAAAGCAAACCCCAAAAATTTACATTTTACGGTCACTAGTAGTACTATTCACGGGGTCGGCTTTTATAACACATATATATACAAAGACTTCTAATCCCTAATCCTTTCCTATATACTTTATAACTCACCTCTCTATATATTTTCTTCCCACTTTTCCCTTCCATTTCTCTCTCTCTCTCTCTCTCTCTCTTTCTCTCTCTAACATATATAGTACTGCTAATTAATGGAAGCTCAGGAGGATTATAATCAACTCATGATCAAACAGATGACGATCAAAGGAAAACGCACAAAGCGCCATAGGGCACAGCCACACGGTCCGGTCTCCTCCTTAGTCTTATCCATTGCTCCCTCAAGCTCGTCGAGCAGCGGTGGTGCCGGTGGATTAGCCCTACTAGACGGTGTTTCAACGTCGTCGTCCGATGATCAGTCCGCGGAGATCATTAGTAGGACGGAGGAGGAGGACATGGCCAATTGTCTAATTCTTTTGGCTCAAGGTCGTGATCGTCACGACCATCATGGTGATCGTGATGGCCCGAGAAATTCGGAGCCTGCGGCTGTGAGGCACGCGAACGACGTTGTTTATCAGTGCAAGACATGTGACCGGTGTTTCCCGTCGTTTCAAGCGCTCGGTGGACACAGAGCGAGCCACAAGAAGCCGAAGGGGAACAACTCCGCAGCAGAAGAGAAGAAAACGTCGTTTTTTCTTGTTGAGGATCATGAGCAATTTGTCAGTAGTGCCACTAGCACGACTCTTTCGCTACAGATGTCGAGTAGGGGCATTTTGAGAAATGGAAATAATAGGATCAGTGTTAGTAACACTAATAATAGTAACAAGGCTAAGGTTCATGAGTGCTCAATATGTGGAGCTGAATTCACGTCCGGTCAGGCCTTGGGAGGCCACATGAGGAGGCACAGAGCGACGTCGTTTATGACGGCACCGACGACGTTGAGTGTGGGGACCACGAGTAGCTCCGATCACCAGTCACGGGAATCAAAAAAACCAAGGAATGTTCTACAGCTGGATCTTAACCTACCGGCACTGGATGATGATCGACGTGAGACTAAGTTTCCGTTCTCCAGCAAGGAACAAGTCATCGTGTTCGCGGCGTCTCCGCTGGTGGATTGCCACTACTAATCATGATCAAAATCACGTACTGCACTGTTAATTATTAGATACATATCCAAGATCAATGTGAATTACTTAATTGTTAATTTGTTGTTGACATTGTTTTCATTTTTTATTTTTTACACATTAATTGTTAATTATTCTTTTTCTTTTTACGTTAATATATTCTTTTCTATCATTTCTCTTTTGATACTCTTCGTACATAGTTGGAAAAATATTGAATTCTTTTCGGTAAAGTGGGCTTGTATTTAACGTGACATTTAGTTCACAAAAAGGTATAATCATTACTTGCTCGTTTTCTTATCTTTTCTTCTTATTTTTTCTTTTCATTTCAGCACCCTTTGTTTATGTTTTATTAATTCGGTCTAGATTTCTGTGCGTTCCAAATTTTTAAGTGAGAGATAATAAGTTTTAGAACTAATTATTAGCATGAATTTGCCACCATATGGTATGATGATATGTACCACAAACCGAAAGTGGTGGGATTAGGTTCTTCACTTGTTTGGTTTGCAAGAAAGCTAAAAAGCCCTGTCTTTGTCCAGTTAATGTCTTTTTCATATAACTGACAAAGAAAATAAACCGAAGCAAAGCAAAGCTATATTGTCTAACTGACCTTCTTTTATGGATCTAACTTCACATTTATGGTGGAAAGTGATATTAACACACACACACACACAAAGTGTACACTCATAATCCATCACTCATTTTCTCCAATTTAATTTCCTCACTCACAATCATGCGAGTATAACGTGTACTTCAATCACCTTCTTATCCGGGTACATGTTGAACCTTTTAAAGTGTGTATACATAAATAAATATATATATATATATAT